GTCTCTTATTTACCGCAGACCTTTGGGTTAGGTAACAATACTTAAACAAATTGAGTTCTGGTAAAGGAGACGCACTCTTGGAACTGTTAATTAGAACGAAAGTTAATCCGACGGATGATCCCCGGAGCCGTCATAACACTCGAAAGCTGAGTCATTTCCTATCTGCACAGCAGGATTGGATAGTAACGACGAATTCACAGTTTAAATGGCAATCCCGATCGTTTTTGCCTGCGTAATTTAACAGATTACGTGCTCAGCCATTCGAGCCACGCTGCGGCTATAGGCAATCATCGAGAATCGCTATACATATGTATACTGCACCAGTACATATACTGTAATCTATGTGATTTGCCGAAAATCGTGTCCTCTGGCCAATCATTACACTCTATCTATTTGCTATCTGTATGTAATATTTGATCTATAAACGATATCAATCCGTTAATTGCATAGGATTTATGGATGCATTCATCAAACATTTTTCAGTGACTTCATTACATTCCGTTTTTAGTTTTCATTTTTTTTATTTACAATAAAGTTTTTATTACATAAAATGTGTGTGTTATTATACCTATTAAAAAAATAAGAGGTAAGAAGGCGCGGGAACAATTTTTTTGGCGAAGCGTAGTAGCATCAAAGTTAGACACCGTTGGTATGAAGTATTAATTATGACAATATCATTTGATATGGTCCACGTCACGTTGGAACTTCGTGTCTGACCAGTTGGCTCGATCTACTCGAACCTCTGCGTTTCAAACGTACTAGAAGACGACTCAGTGAACAGCGAATCGTATTCATAAAATGCGAAACGATGTAATAAGCTTAACGGCCCTGGAAGTGGAAAGTAATGGTGGAACGACGGATAGGGTAAAAGGGATAAGTAAAAGTTGAAGAATCCCTATAAAGAGTAGAGTGCAGGGACCCCGGTAATAAGCCAACGCCCGACGATGTGAAACATAATGCGCGTTATCTTCGGATACGATTTTTTTATCGCTAACGCAGTCTACCGATCGTAAAACCTCGGTGAACGATCTTTTACGAATAAGCTCACTGCGAGTGCGCCTAAAAAAAGTTCTCGCATTAGAACTCCTTCTCAAATCATTAAATAAGATTGTTATTATTCTTTCGATTTCTGTTATTACTTTTATNACAGTATCTTTTATTTTGGTAAAATTGAAAAAAGTTGGATATAGCGAAATATGGGATTGTAAAAAATCGGCATTGGGGCGTAGCGTAGAATTAATAATAGAACGAGAGGATAAAAATTCCAGCTATACGCGTTGTAGGTACAACGGTACGTGTAGGAAATGAGAGAACAGGTATAAAAAGGAATTATTTCTCATCGTTGGAAGAGGTGAATACGTGCCGCTATGTTTACGATATTGCGGTTATCGGACAGAAAGCAAACACACGGTCAACGTATATTGGTTGGAACTCGTTTCGCTTCATCTAATCATTTCCGTGTTTTAGGGGATCGATTAATCCCTGGAGCACGATACGACCTATGTATCTGTGTAACATTCGCCCATTCTGACACGGCCATCAGGTCAGATTGGCCTTGGCAATCTTTAGTAACGAATACAATGGCTTTATTCGTTTTTTATGGGTTTGTTTCACACGTTCGTAGAAGAATGAACAATATCGTCGGTCTAAATTAATACAATCCTTGATTGATCTAATTTAAATTAGATAAATAATAAAGTAGAAGTTAAACAGTACGACTTTCCGTAATGACGTAACTGGCTTGGGTCAATTTCATTAAAATCAGTGGACACATGCTTTGGATTAATTTATTCTGTTTTAAGGTGTATGATGATAGATAGAATAGAGGTAAGGTATAATGAGAACACGACGATAAAAAAACTGGAAGTATAAATTGTTTAGAATATGCCATGTGTGAATGTGGTTTAGCAAATTGTGGTAATAGTAGGAGAAGCTTATGAGGAGAATTAATCAAATCCTCGTTGGAAGAAATTTTGAGGTGGTCACCTGACGTACCCTTCTTGTTCGATTTTCGCCCGATTTACTCTTTACAGGATACAACCCTGGAAATTATATGTAGTTGTAAAACACAATCCATAAATGTTTCCTTAGGCTTCATTTTAAATATGTTTTCGTAGAATAATAAAGTTCTAAGTCCCATAGAAATTCGCAATGCGATATAAAGTGGTATTAAAAAATATGAAATATGACATTGTTTCAGGTCTCGTGGGTAAGGCATCGAGACATTCATCTGTTGACTGTCGGCAGCTACACTTACACGAACGACCAGCGTTTCGAAGCTATGCACTCCCCGTACTCGGACACGTGGACCCTCAAGATCCGCTATGCTCAGAAAAAGGACTCCGGTACCTACGAGTGCCAAATATCTACCACACCACCCATCGGACATCTCGTAAACCTCACTGTGGTTGGTAAGTTGCCTATAAGTTAACCACAGATCTACCTTTTCTCTATTTTAAATAGTTTGTTCCCACATTTGTATTCATCAGCTTACACGTGTTTAAAAAATAAGTGAACTCAAGACTTTGAAAAGTAGGGCGAGGACTTTCAAGTGATAAAACACGAGAGAGGCATTATACGCAATAGTAATAAGAAAAAAAAAGTAATATGAAAAAAAAAGGAAGTATCATTTGGGAGATAAAAAAGTGGTGAGAGCAGACAGAAAGGCGATGGTGAGACGGGAGAAGAAAGAGGTTGGGCAATATCGGAGAACCCGGTAGGAGATTCCTCTCCTTCCGTTTCTTTTCGCCAGCAATAGCTTCATTAGCCTCGGCGATAATTGGCTCAGTTCGTGACTCGCTTTCGCAAAACACCGACGGATCCCCAGCGCCGTACTCCCTTTGAAAATCGATCCTAAAGGATCTCCTCCTCTCCTGCTCCTTCTTTCTCGTCCTTCGATCAAAGAACTTCCTAAGTCCCGAAGATATCCGGTTCTGTGTAATGCTCGAACGAATCACTTGACTCTGCTTCTTTCCCACTCGCTGCCGTCCGTTCTGGATTTCGAACGTTACCGAGCCACCGGCCGCGGTCGGATAATGGCCGGTGACGTTGATCGATCGTCCAGCTCCCGTGGATCGAATCGGATACACCCGATCGGCGATTCCTAGCGGGCAGAACGCGGCCGACCGTAAACCAGGCAAAATTATATCGTTACTCGCTCGTCCGGACACGATTGAATTTAAGTACATCTCTTATCGTGTTGCTGTACGGATTCTTCATAGAGAATCCTCCGGAATCCGATTCGGCGGTAGAGCCGTCCGGAAACGTCGTAAATCATTTTTGTGCCCCGTCCGATCGCTACCGTTGAACGGGAATGCCTCCATCCCGCTAGGATTAGATCCTCGCATTTCCGCGTGCAATATTGAATACACGCGGCCATTATTTGCACAACGTATTGCTACTGCGACGTAATTTTCGCCTCGGATTGAAATTTATACAACAGCAGCCGGGTTTATTCATGAAATTGCACCGTAATTCAATTACTGGTTCTCCTGAATAGCGGATTATAAAATGTAGACGCGAGTTGCTTTTAAATTAGAGCCGCGCGACTAGGGAAGCATTCGTTTTGTACGTGTACGTGGTTACTACGTGGATGCACGTGTAAAAGAGTGTGGCGGGCAGAAAGGAACGAGGAACGTGTGTTTAGGGCAAGGAAAGCTCGAAAGGTGTTCAACGAATTGTTCATTCGTGGCGAATCGACGCCGGTTAGGGAGAAAGACGGTCTAATAAAAGAACTAGACTAGAAACGAATCGAAAAACAATTGCTTTCAGCGGCATTCTTGGCACCCGATACCCGTGGAAATTGTTGCGACAAATTGAGTCTTCCTGACGGCAACAACAACGACAACGTCGACCTTTCCTCCCTCTGTACTCCGTGCCTGCTTCTTTTAATACTCGTCTACTATCCCTGGTCGCATTTCCCCTTGTTCCTTCTTCCTGGAATGCAAGCTCGGCTACGTGGAAAGAAACGACCCGTTCGCTCGTTTCGCTGTCTCCTTTAAAGCGCTTCTTCTTCTTTTTCTTCTCTTTTTTAAACGAAACCTCTTGTTTCACTTCCGCCTCTGTCGAAAGCTTTTTCTACCCGGGACGCGTTTCTCCCCTCCACGAGTTACATTAAAAATTCATGAACTGCTTTCAATTTTCGTCGAACGTAAGAATCTGTACAATTTATTTGGTATGTGCAGGAAGTTCTCATGGAGATCCTCGACTGCGGACTCCGCAATCCCGCGTTCTCCGTCCATTAACGTTTGATACTAATTAAAGGAAAAAGCTAAACGTCTCTAATTTAATAAAAAAAATTCCGTCGAATTAAGAGCGGGGAGTCTGAAGATCGAAAGTATAATTCACCGCAAGAAGTTTCGCGGCCCGTTCCACTTGCCTGCAAAATTGAATTTGCGGAATCGACATCATTTACCTCCGACTACGGCCGTTCTCCTCTCCCAGTTCCACCGTCGTCGGCCTTTTAATCCTACAAAACGAACTTCGTTACCGTTAATGCGACCGAAAAAAAAAGATATTTAAACATTTCGGTTCGCAATCCCATTAGAGAAGTAAAGTTGATTCCGCGGGTTGTCGACGTGTTAAAATGCAGTCGCTGTTACGCTTGTGCGGCATTCGAAAATGACTTTTTACCAGCTTTTCCCTGGAACTTTGCACGAACTTCCAAATGGAAGCGGGACTTTCCATGAGTAACTTTTTTTTAAATACAAAATTCGTGGTAATCCTTGGAAATGTTGGAAATACGCATTTCATGATTTTTATGTAGAAACTGCAAATTTTTTCGTGTATTCATATTCTTTAGTTGATTTCTATTATAGTTTAAGTTGGCATTTCAAAACAGCCTAACAAATTCTAATTCTTGAAGATGTTAGCAACATGCATTTTTTATTTTTATGCAGTGTTCGACATTTTTTAATGTATTTATCTTCTGTACTTGCTTGCCATTATAGTTTGGCTAGGCATTCGAAAGGAACCAAACAAATGAGAATTCTTCAAAACTGATGAAAACGTTTTTTATTTTTATGGAGTAATAGAAATTTAGTAATTTATTTGTGTTCTCTACTTGACTATCATTATACTTCAATTAGGCATTCCAGAAGGGTCTAACAAGTCATTCCTTAATTCTATTTGTAATTACTCGTGGAGTTTCTTGAACTCTATTGAACATATTCCCCTTTATTAGATATGCTTTCAGCCCCTTTTCACGAATTCGCCCGAGGGAAGAGACACGATTGGTTGAAACGATTTCCACTTCGTTTTTACAGCCTCTTCACTGTCCCTCGCTGTTATCGTACACATCTCAATCGCTTAGACAAGGCCTAATTCTCGAAATAATCTGAAGAAATCATTTGCCACAACTCGCCGCCAACGTTATTGGCTCAGATTTACAAATCATTTATATCTTGATTTATCAATTAAACAATTATAAATAATGAAATGCAAAATGTTTTATGAATACGTTACATTAACATATAACCTGCTATACAACTTTGCCTATTAAAGTGCATAAAAGCCTAATATTGTTTGAAACTATAAAAGTTAAAAATTTTTTAATTCTACTTCCTTGTTTATTATACAGTACATCTATAACGCGAAGGAAGAAGTTTGTAATGTTAAAAATATATCGCTAAAAAGTATTTCGAACGAACGTGTGTAAGGAAGTTTAAAACTTATTGATACAACCATTACATTTCCGTACGTAGCGAATATTTCCCCTTTTGTGCTGCGCGGCTGGTAAAAAACCAATTTGTAAAAAGTTTTCTTCGTACACGCGTTAAACTAGGTCATTCCTTTATGCGCCCACCCACCCATCTATCTATCTCTCATTTTTAACCCTGATTCCCATTCATACCGAAATTTCATTTACTCTACAAACGCTACGCGCGCTTTCGTATTACGTGCGGGGTATTACGGGCAAAAGCGCAATTATTACATTCTGCTCGATTATGCAAAAGACTAGATATTTGCCCGCCGCATTAGATAATTTCAGAAACATAGCTCGTACGAACACGGTCTATCACGATCACAACAGTGTGGGATTTTTAAAGGTAGTAGGACGAGGAAACAAGTGCAGATTCAATTAAATCAGAAACTACGTGTATAGTTTAATGTATAATTTAAAAGTACAGTGACCTCATGAAAATCCGGACTAGCTTTGTAAAGTATACTTGAAAAATGAGACACGTGCACATAGCGCCAAGTACTATACAGAGTGAGTAACGTTTGCACTTCTGTGGGGCACTTGCACCCAAAGGGTGCAGAAAAGGACAAAAAAAATGAAGGTAACCTTGATATCTTTAAATAAAAATAAAAATATTTTTGGCATCATGCGAGCCCCATTCAACTATTCAACTTTGCCCTTCTTTGAGACATTTGACGCATCTTTAAAAACAGCAAAAATATTTCAGATGCAAACGTTGGGTGAGTCACCCTGTATACAAACAGCATAAATAGTAAATTTTTGAGAATGATCCAGGAACAAATGAAAAATTGGTGAAATTAATTTGTCTCGATTTATCGATTGATGTAGACAGCGTAACTTCAGGGCAGCAATCAATTGCGAAAAAAAGGGGATTTGAAAAGGACGGGACGGCCGCGCTCTCGAGGAATCTCGTATCTCGATAAAATCGTAGCCGACGTGGCGAGCAATTTATTGCTAATACTCCGCCGCGAGGAGAGTGCCGTCATCGTGACGGATTAACGAGGCGCCGTTGAAAATGCAAAAAGCTTTAATTTCACTGACTACAGGGTTGGCGTGGCGCGCAGGGCTGAATAATTACAAGGTTGGCCAGGGGGTGGTCGGATCATCGTGATAACAATACTTGAACCTCGCCGTTACACCGTGCTATTGTAATTACCTCTCGTGCCTCAAGTGCAACGTGCTATTTTCGTGAAAACACCTCGGCACGATACATCCCGCGATATACGTACCTACCTGCGCCACGGATGTACGTACGTATAATACGCGTTCCTCTGGCAACGCCCGACCCTCTTTTTTCCTTCCCGGGGCCGGAGCTCGCCGAGGAGCTTCCATTAGTTGAATAATTGTCCGAGGAGGTACGCTACAACCTGCGAACCTCTATACTTTCCGATCATCAACGAGAACGCGCGAGTAGTCATTTTGAGCCATTAACGGGCTGGTCTCCGCGACTGGAGCTACGTTAAATGACTTATTTCTTGATCGTCGTATGATACAGTCATATATTTATCCTCGAGAAAGACATTAAACGAGGAGTACTATTTTATTTTCTACGTAGTCGAGATTAGCATTTGATTAGTAAATGTTCGCCAATATAGTAATAACTTCGTCAAAATTAAATCTCCGGTCATGCAGGAATATTGAAAAATTCGGTCAATTCTTCAATGGCAATTAATGAAGACAAATTACGTTGAGATCTGATAAGGGAATTAA